GAAAAACTAAAAAAATATATTTGCGCTTTGAGCGAAAAAAAATTTCTAACTCAGACAAAAAACCGTAATCCCCCCCCCCCCCCCCCCCGAAGTTAAATGGTTGCTCCCTTATGCACTAGGATAATAAAAGGTGGCCAGAGGTAACCTCTTTAAATAGTGCTATTCTACGCAGTTATATTAAGGTTCTAAAAATCAACCAATGGTTCTGCAAATAAATTAAACTACACTTATTTACATCGAATCGAAGAGCTCGCGTAAAGTACAGTAACGACAGGAGCTCTGGACACCTTTCAGCGGAACTATTATCCTTGTGCATAATGATAGCAAAAGGTACCTATTCTGATCCAGGTACACACAGGCACCTATTCTAATCCAGGTACACACAGGCACCTATTCTAATCCAGGTACACACAGGCACCTATTCTAATCCAGGTACACACAGGCACCTATTCTAATCCAGGTACACACAGGCACCTATTCTAATCCAGGTACACACAGGCACCTATTCTAATCCAGGTACACACAGGCACCTATTCTAATCCAGGTACACACAGGCACCTATTCTAATCCAGGTACACACAGGCACCTATTCTAATCCAGGTACACACAGGCACCTATTCTAATCCAGGTACACACAGGCACCTATTCTAATCCAGGTACACACAGGCACCTATTCTAATCCAGGTACACACAGGCACTTGTCTCTGAAAAAAAAATCTTACATACCTAATATAGGATTTTTTTTCAGAGACAAATGCCTGTGCCCGTACAGTAATTTATCCGCTTTATTTACATGAATTTCTCTGTGTAAACAATAGTTTATTTCGAAATACAGTGTTGTTCAAGTTTTATGATGATATACCTTTGTTCTACGAATGCGTCAAATGAATAGTTGAAGGATAAATGTCTTTTAACAAGTTTGTCGAACTCGTCACATGCTTCGTCGAAAAGGTACCCCTATCCGATTTTGACGATTTTAAGAGAGAGAAAGCCAATTAAGGATCATAATCAGCCCTAAATAGTAGCTACATTACAAGGAATCAGTACCACAAATCTTTACTTGTCAGCAAAACGTAGAATATAATAGGAATAAGAAGAGTTTGACCTTACCTGACTTCACATTTGTTTTTTCCACTGCTTCGGGGGTACCTATTTCCGGTGGCGATGCTTCACAGTGTTGATAATGTATTTGCAACTTGATATTTTTTTTCTAAATAATTGTTAGTTTTTCCTAACCTTATAACTCTTACTGTATTGCCATGTGAATATGAAAGCATACAAAGCTTGAAATTAAACGCTTCAAACTCTAATGCACGAAATAGCGGATTTATACTGAAAAGTTATCATGATAAAATTTTGTTGATCACCAATTTATGGTCCGAGGACACAGTTATTGTCCTCTTCGAATATATAGTCCCTAGTGTGGACAGTGTATAACTTGCAAATTTTTTTCATACACTTTCCAAATTTATTTATTTATATTTTATGCATTAAATATTAAGTAGGGGGGTGAAATTATATGTTAAAAAGATTTGGGTGATGAATTTTTATGTAAAGTAGTGATTTTGTCTAGTTTGCCTGATGCTGTCAAACTGAATTATAGACCTCCTTAACATAGCATTGTCCATATTTTGAGTTAGAGCTGGTAGACTTTTCTATAATTTTGATATTATTTGTCCCAAAAGTAGTACACTACACTGTGAAAAGATATAGGAAGATGTGGTATGAGTGCCAATGAGACAACTCTCCATCCAAGTTACAATTTATAAAAGTAAACCATTATAGGTCAAGGTACGGCATTCAACACGAGCAAAAACCTTTTTGAGATAGAGCAGGTGCGATTTTTTAAATTTTAATTTATTGTCTAAAAGAAATGCACTACGAAATAACTGTTCTCGGGCCTCATTATTTGTGACAACTGAAGTTATTGTCTTTGACCTGCAGAATCGGTTATTGTTTGTCATTATTCACCGTTTCATTTTGGCCTTATTGATTGATTAATTGTTGTTTAACGCCACTTTCAGCACTATTATGCTATTTCGTGGCGGTCAGTTTTTATTGGTGGAGGAAGCCGGAGTGCCCGGAGAGAACAACCGACCTTCGTTAGGAAAATTGACAATCCTAGAAAATTAAAATTAAAGTCGAGTGCACCTGCTACGTGTGGGATTCCAACTCACAACCTCAGCGTTGTCAGGCTAGTGATACAGTTGTTCGACAGCTTAGACTAGATCCTAAAGAAAAATGTGTACTATAAATAAATGCATGCTAGAGCCCACCAGTCACATTACACAAGGACACATTCAAATGTATGAAATGAGACATTCAGTGATTCATTTTGTTGTATATCTCTCTTTCTATGTTGTAGTTTTTTTTTCTTCTATATATTAAACCAGGTATTGAAAAGAAATTCTGTCAAACTTGAAATCGTGGTAGCGTGCTCTCCTCGAGTGCGGGAAGTCGTCGGTTTGATCCTCGACATGATCAAACCAGATTTGAAAATTGGTAATTGTTGCTTCTCTGTTAAGCAAACGGCATTGAGAAGTTCGAGCAATGACGAGTCGAGTCGGAGTAAGAATAATGTGTCCAAGTAGGGTAATATATCTTACTGTGGACTGTTACCTTGTGAACTAGCACGTTAAAAATCTGGCTCAACGTGAGTCCGTCTAGTAGAAATCAGAGCTTATATTCATTTCACATAAGCAATATCTCGTCCCGAAGATACATTTGTATTTGCCAGTGGGCGTTATTTGTAGTAAATTATTAATATACATCCTGTGGATAAGTGGTGTAGTGAGAGTTAGAACTCCAACCTCGTTTGAAATAACTGAAGTTTTTACAGTAAGTGTGGTATGTGAAGAGATGATATAGTTACTTATAATTTGAGGTTAAAACATGTACATGTCAATAACATTAATGTTTACACCATTTTTGAATTTGAAGTGGATAATTTTAATTTAATGATATATAATTGATTGAGTTTTGGTTGCTTTACGTCCAGTGGCAAATATTTAATTATCATGTTCAGGACGAAAACAAATTAACAATGAATACACTATGTTGGTACTGTAATAGAGGTCGTCTGGGATGAAGGTCGGGGAAATTCTGACAGCAACTGGAAAATGAATAAGGATAGATATTTTACCTTCCAACAGGCCACCTATAAAACCCTCAAATAATTGTTGCAAGGGTTCTTAACTTGCAGAGAGCTTGTCACTCTCTCTACACGAGGCATCGGATTTAACGTCTCATTCTGACCGGACGTGGCTGCGTACTTGTACATCCCACACAACCAAATAGATGCTCAGTTTGGCAAGGGTTTATATGTTTTAACAAGGGTTTTTACTGCCGGTCGGAGAAGACCAAAGTGACCACATTTTTATTCCTCAGTCACCCTTAGGAGTTGTTAATATATGAAAGTCGGACATTGTCAAAAACTCATTGTCGTAAGTTTGAGTCAATTCTCAATCATTTCAAATATTTTGACTCGTGTACGACGAATGTCACAAGTAAAAAACTCAACTTTACTGTACAAACGTCGAAGCGAGCTCAAAATTGAAAGTCACACTGGATTGCGTTTGAGTGGCAAGTAATAATGTTTTAAATCAAATGCATGAATGCCAGACTAACAGCTTGCAAAATAATGATCGAATAAAATTATCACCGGGTTTGTACTAACGTGAGCAACACGACGCCATTTAAGGGCAATAAACTCCTAGAGGAGTCATCCAATGGTTTCAGCCATATTGACGTATAATAGTGGATGATTTTTGCTATCTACAATTTTTGCTGTTTACAGTTTTTATCTATATTTTATACATGTTTTTCTTTGGGAAAAGTGGCAATACACGAAAATTCCTCGAACACCGTCATTTAAGGACCATAACTACTTAAGGAGTCATCTAATATTTTTTTTGTGAATCCTAAATTGTTGATCATTTTTGCTGCTTACAATTTTATCTATTTGTTAAAGTTCTTAGGATATCTGGTAGAAATATGGAAATTCGTCATTAATTAGCATTGTTGTAGATCTTGTATTTCTGATTATTTTTGCTGTTTACAACTTCTAACTGTCATTGTTTTCTTTTCTTCACATCAGCCTTATTGGCCTTGTTGAGTTAAAAAGTGGGAGTTACCAAGGTGTGGCGGCGGTGGGTGGGGGAGAGGGGGTGTTGTCAAACATGGTAAGTTGAAGAAAGAAAGACAACACTACGGACAAAGGTAAAAAGTCGAAGACAAACAACAAAACAGAACACGTTACACTGAAAATAAAAGACCGAGCAACAGTAACTCTTCGAACAGTTGCTTCAGAAGAAATATAGAGCTAACTAAAGCCTTATGCACACCTACTATCTGTTAACTGCTCCAAAGTTGTTTTTTTTCCCCTTTCACTTAAAAGTCAGAGTGGGATATACATTGGAGAGGAGTATGTCACAATTTTCTATTACACCAGTCATGCGTTTCCCTAAACTTTTACGACTAAAATTGATCGTATTAAAGTATACTGAATTGTTCAAGACTTAATATGATCAATTTAATCTTACAATTTGGCGTGAAACGCAGGCCAGATCTGCTAACTAGCTACGTTATTAAGTGATATTGTATTCTTGAAAAGCCTAAAGTTATAACTCTTCCGTTAATATATTTTTGACTTTCCAATATTTTTTTATTTCAACCGTACCGGGTGATTCCAGAAATACGCTCTGTGCACACGGAAATCATACCATAGCTTTGTTTTTCTATTCATGTATTTTATTTAATATAATTATTATACGGATGTACTGATCGATCAATTTTGTAATAAGCCGTTCCTCAGACACATATTACTTCAAGCCATGCTTATCATTTTAATTAATTAAATGAAATTTCTTTTTTATAGAATGTTTATGATATTAGCAACAGTAGCTGGTGCAATAGGTGGTTTATATCTGTTAGTAAAATTAAAACTACCGTATGGTTACCTAGTGATATCAGATTTCCAAAATTGATAATAAAAAACGGAACGGAACTTGAGACATACAAGAAAAAAAAATATACAGCCAAAAGATATCTTTGAGAAAACTGCTGATAAGTTTACTACAAAGCCAATGATCATCTACAAAGGCGTGTCGTACAGTTTCATGGAAGTGGATAAAATGGCAAATAAATTGGCCAATGTGGCATGTGGGTTAGGTATAAAACAAGGTGATACTGTAGCCATACTGATGTACAATGAACCTGCATTTGCTTGGACCTGGTTTGGTAAGTTTAGATAGGTTGTTAAAAAAGTATTAACAAAAACACCTAACTCCAAGGAGAAATCCATAAAACATGACAATTTTAAACACTTGACTATACATCAACCAACAGAACCGACTGAACAACAACGTTCATATTCCTGATATTGTACAGGCATTTTACGAAGGTGTATATCTTACCTAAAGACTTGTTCTATACAACTGATCATTAAATCAACACCAAATGCATGCTTAAAACATCTGGCTGCCGTTTCATAAAACAATCGCTAATAACGACTAACGTTAATATTAGCGTGCGACTAACGACTACATAACACTTACGTTTACGTGCGTTTCATAAAGCATACGTAGACGAATCGTTAGATTTTTCGATCGTTAGACAATCGCTATTTATTTTTAGAACGGGAATCCCCGGATATCGCACTCTTTGTCGTTGGAGAAAAATATGCTAGTAAGCGACTGAGAGTAAAAAAAGACTCCAAGTACAAGAAATCCCAATTTTAAATGTTTCCTCCAACGAGGTAGACTTAATAAAATTGTTTCCTATTTATTAAAGAATAATTCATGCAAGTCCTAGATTAGTTGGAAATTTTCACATGACACACGATTTATTTTTGCGTAGCCAAATTGGCCTTTGTAGGCTACGCGTACCCGCAACCGATTTTATAATAAACTGTCATATGATCGGGAATGAAACGTGAAAGATACACGAAAAATATCGGATATTTCCTGACTTTGTGAATTCAGTGAAGATAATGGCAAATAATATTTTTTTAATTTGTATTATTAGTTATAAAAACCGAAATTAAATGTGAATGCACATTAAAAGAATAAAATTATACAGAATATGAATAAATATAATAGTATGTAAAAAAAACTCGAGTGAAATATTATTTGTTATATTTGTTTCGCGATCATTACAAGTAATATTTAAAAAAGTCACATTATGTTCCTGTAATATAAATCTATACTACTCAAGGAAGAGACTGATTTCATTGAGCAGTAACTCCTCTGAAACCATACAAAGTCAAAAATATTTGTGATATGACGTATACATGTAGTGTTTTGTAGTACGTATTTTTCTTTGAAACAATATTTTTTCTACAGAAAACGACAATTTTATTTAGTAAATATCAAAATTCGAAGACCTTTATCAATCCGTGTCTTATAGGCTTTCGTGTATGCTCAGTCGGCGTACTATCCGCGAAAATTGATTTTTGTTTTGTTTCAATTCTTGCCTAATTGTACTGCGATTTCGCGGGCATCTTCTAGTAATATAGAATGCTGTCAGGATCAGTAAACTATGTTTTTATAAAAATTAAATACTTAACTGAACAGTTCGTCAATTAGTCTTCGGTGAAAATTTTAGGATGGTCTATCTGCCAACCTCGCGATGCAGCGATTAACTTCCGGAATCAATCGTACGGCGGTTATACCCCGTGGGCATGACAGAACTATTTACATATGTAACAATAAAATGTATTTAATATGGCCATATATTCTTGCAATCACGTATTTGCTAATTTGTAACAACAATTTGTAAAGAATTCAAACATAATTTAAGGTGACTCGAATGTTGCTGATACTAGTACTGGAATTTTGACTCGAACTCGAAGTTTAACTTGGAAAGTAACTCGAAATATAACTTGAAGATCATCTCGAACTTGAACTCGAACTATAATTGATTGTAATTAAGCCACATGCAATTTACCACCTTGCAACTCCTAGAATGTGTGTTCCAGATATAATACACACAAAGAATTTTGAATACCACAAAAGGAACTGATAGGATTCAGTTTTATTCATGTTTGATAAAACATGAGGTGTGCATGTACGCCCAGTAGCAAGTTAAATGCATGTTCAGGTTAGAACCTATAATTATGATATATCAATCTTGACCCCGAAATTTACTAGGCCGACATATATAGACCTACCAATCTTTACTAATACCCCCACAATCTGCATACTAATAGGAGAAACAGCAAATACCAACTTTCTTCTTTGGTTTCAACTTGCTGAGAATCGAATCCACGGCGATTCAAATATGAGTAAATATTTTATTTATTTCATGGCAGTGCTTAGGTTTCGAGATATAAGCAAAAAACCGCCCCCTCCCCCTTTTATGTTTAAGTTTTGGCAATGGTGGCAATTTTTTTATGTATGAAATCCCCGGATAGAATTTATAAACTAGACACAACTATAAAGAACATCCAGTTACAGTTGGATGTATTTGGAACAGTAATTTCAGAGGAGAAGAATTTTAAAATAATTTACGACGACGGACGTCAAGTGATGACATAGGCTAACATGGCCCTATTTTAGACTGTATGTGAAATGTTAAAGCTGCAAAAAAACAAGTACTAAATATCTTTTCGATCTAGACTATTTTTGACATATCAATTTTCAGAATAATTTGATGATTACTGAGTGATATTAAAGTCTGGGGACACGTGAGTTTTATAAGTTATAATTGGTGTAAGACTAGTTTCAGTAACTGTCTATCGGTACTTTATCTTTTTGATCGTTGGTTTTTTATGCCTTGTTGAGTTGAACCATTTTCAATATATCTTTATAATTCATTTTTATGTTGTACTGTTCTGTAACTTTTTTTTCATGCATACTCTAGCCAAAATCATGACTCTGCACCCAATCGACATTACATATCCAAGTGATAATACAGTCGAAAGTTGTTTACCGACAAGTGACCGTACAGTGAAAAATATTTAGTGACATGTGTTTTTAAAGATTTAGAACTATTTGTGAGTGTAAACATATTGAAGTTAAATTTGAGGAAAAACTATATATTAATTCCTTTTAAACACCTTACAAATTTTGAAAACAATTCTTTTATTAAAAGTCAAAACTTCAGCTGAACGAACACAAGTATTTCCATAATTTGGGTCGGAGCTCTTAGTTTTATTTCAATTTCCTTCCTGTTTTCTTGCCTTAAGAATGGGTTCGGCACCCCTCAATGTTTGAATAATAATGACAGATACAAACGTTTTCTCATATACATTACAAGTAAGCCCCAGAGATAATAATGAAAAAAAACACGTATCCGAAAATTATTTCGAATTTCGGAGCCCCGCTTGACAGTCTCCCGAATGACCACAATATCAAAAAAAAACATACAGTTGCGTTCCCACATTGTATTTATTAAATAGAGAACATAAACATTTATAGCTCTTTTTTAAAATTTTTAATACCTTTTTAATCACATCGATGGCTTTAATGAGGGTAGAGATGCACTTTACCGTCAGGCGCCAAACGGTCATTTTCGGCTTACGTCGCGTTAGCGACAAAATGGTTAAAGTTTTATCGTGATTTGTCAAAATATCCTTATCGTACGGTAGCAGAATGCTGCCATGTAAGAAAAAAATACTGTTCCCTCAAGATACTTTGTCGTTCCCTCAAGATGCTATGCCGTTCCCACAAGAAAGTGTTATCGTTCTCTCAAGATATTATGTCGTTACCACAAGATAGTTATCTCGTTCCCTTAAGATGCTATGTCGTTCCCTCAAGATGCTATGCCGTTCCCACAAGAAAGTTTTATCGTTCTCTCAAGATATTATGTCGTTACCACAAGATAGTTATCTCGTTCCCTTAAGATGTTATGTCGTTCCCTCAATATGCTATGCCGTTCCCACAAGAAAGTTATATCGTTCTCTCAAGATATTATTCCGTTACCACAAGATAGTTATCTCGTTCCCTTAAGATGTTATGTCGTTCCCTCAAGATGCTATGCCGTTCCTACAAGAAAGTTTTATCGTTCTCTCAAGATATTATATCGTTTCTACAAGATAGTTATCTCGTTCCCTCAAGATGTTTTGTCGTTTCCATGAGACAGATATCTCGTTCCCTCATGATGATATGTCGTTCCCTCAAGATATTATGTCGTTCCTTCAAGATATTATGTCGTTCTCACAAGATAGTTATCTCGTTCCCTCAAGATGCTATATGCCGTGTCCACAAGATAGTTATCTCGTTCTCTCAAGATAATACGTCGTTCCCACAACATTGTTATCTCGTTCTTTCATTGCCGCATATTGCCACCGTATTCTCGAGATTCAGAGATCTCAAATAATTATTTGTTACCGTTATTTTTGGAGAAAAAAAAAATTGTCAAAAGCAGTCGATTTTTTTTATCGTCATTAAGAAATGGTCATGCACCGAAAATTACAGTTAATGTCATTTGACAACAATTTTTTTACCGTTATTCGTAATGACGGTATCCCCATTACGACCCTCTTTTACATGGCTTTCGCCGGCTGAATAATGTTTTCACAATTTTTTAGTTCCATTTTCACAATGAAGCGAGAGAAATTTTATTAATTAAAAAGATGTACAAATGTATACTATATCATTTGAGCTTTACTTGGCTGTTGATGGAGACCTTACATTTCAGCAAAATAGATATAAGAAGATGTGGTATGAGTGCCAATGAGACAACTCTCTTGTAAATATGTATACATTTTGGAGTCTCTACAATCTTATGTCAGAATTACAAAACGATTCAAAACATGCAATTAAAATGATCAATTCTTAATTTCTCTCATTCCAATCGAGACCAGTCTTATCATTTTACATGTACATATTTCCACCCTTTTTGTCAAGCCTGCGAAATTTATTTATAAAGCGGAACATACCGATAATTGATTACGTCGTCGGCGTCGGGGTCAACATTTCGGTACAGTCTGTGGACCCTCTGTGGTTAAAGTTTGTTTGAGGCATCAATAACTTTGTCAACCCTTCGTATAATTTCATGAAATTGGACAGAAGGTTGTTTATGACCAAAAGACAGTATCCATCTAAGTTTTTTTTTTAATTCTGTAGTTTACTGATAAACGGACTAATTTTTTAGTAAACATTACACTTTTACGCTGACAGCAGCATAAAACCGCGAGACAAAGGGTTCCGAATTTTTTGATAACATGTATTCCTTTTCGGTTATCGTCATTATAAAATATTTTTTCTTTGTTCATATTTACTACCATTTTGCTACTTTTGCAGATAAGATATGTTTAAACTAAATGGCTTTCTTTAAATTATTTATATCGTTCCTTTCTCATTGTTTTAAAACTTTAAGGCACTAGTATCAAGGTTCTTTGGCTATCGTAGTACTACCATTTCATTTTCATAGTAATAATAACATTTGCAAAAGCTATTTTCTATTATATATAACTATTGAAACCATTTTAAGGGGAGTTAGTACCGTTCTGTATTGTTGCACACCCGAAATTTGATTGTTCAAGTTCCAATTTTATTTATATTTTTCGTCTGTTGTGTAGGTAAGGAACAAATATATCCGTGTACATCACAGGCACTTGTTTCTGTCATTTGGAAGGTCAACTACTGTGGATTAATTTATTTTCGTGGCTGTCAATGTTCGTGGATTCAGGAAAAAATGCATTTTATTGATATTTATTTCGTGGTTTTGCCAATTTATGCATACAAAGCCGATAGAAAAAAAATAATTCGTTGACTTATATTATTGGTCCACCTGTACCCACAAAAGCCATGAAAATTGGTATCCAACGAATAATGTTGAATCCCGCACAGTATCAAAATATCTGACAAGTTTGTTTTTTTTATAAATATACCCTCATACCCTTCCCATATCTTTTTGAAAGAGTGTTCTTTTTTTTTGGCTAACAGCTACAGATTTAGATAGTTTCAAATGCCCTCGTGGAATAAAAATTAAAAACAAAATATTATTAATATTTCAACCGGAGTTATTATAATTGGACAAACAAGCACTCCCTGCCAAAACGCGGACGTGACAGAAGACACCTTTTAGTAGCGTCAACAGTAAACATTTGGTATAAAATTTTATTTGTCCATGTTTTTGTTCATATATATCACCAACAAATGGTTTGGTCCAGATATTTCTGATTGTTTTGTTGAAATAACTTGTAAGTATAAAGCACGCAAATTCTCTTTTACTTTACCCGAAAGTCTGTGTGAAAGGAGGTTTTGAGAAATTTATCAAAGTCGTCCTTTCAAGGCGTGGTAAAAGTGTATCTTAAAACTTAAATATGCCCTATCTACCATTACGGTAGCGAGATATGATATATGTCATTTAAATTGTCCATGATTTCAATCCTTCCCTGAAAACCCTGTGTCGTCTAAAGATTCGGCGTCGGTTGTGCCTCAAAGTATGCAAGGCGACGGCCATCTTTTATGTAACGATCGCTTTGCGACAGGTTTAACCACACGTAAATAGCGTTCGCGATTCACACGCAATGTACGACCATCGCAAAGTACGATTGTTTTATGAAACGGAATTTTAGCGTTACGTTTGGTTAACGTTTAAACGTACGCTAACGATTGTTTTATGAAACGGCAGCCTGGTTATTTATTGATAAACATTAGATGTTGAGTGATCAATTAGTAACGGATCAAAATAAAATACTTTTGTATACGACAACACGTGACCTTTGATAATAAAGCTTTGTCTATGTAATACATGTCATTCACAAGCTCTATATTCCACGAGTCTTAGACCGAGACACAACCACTCATTCACAAGCTCTATATCCCACGATTCTAAGACAGAGGCAACCAAAGATCTTTCATCAACACAAAATCATTAAATGGGTAAAATTAATCGTGAAGTCATTACACAGGGACGACCTCTTACCAGGTTGCTTCCGGAATGTTCACTTTTAGGTTCCTGAATGTTTTACTGGTAGTATTGTATATACACACTTTATTTATCTCGATCAGTGGAAAAAACAAAAGGTTATCATGGACGTGAAATAAAATCAGTTCACTTGATGGATCTTTTTATGTATTTTAGAATTTAGTTCTTCTAGATCATAGCAGTAAATGTAGTCACCAATTTGCTGATACATTCATGTTGAAATTACTTTCATTCACATGTTTCTTCAGACAATTTATTCTAGTTGAAATACTTTTAGTTTTGAGAAAATTGGAGTGGAAGTTTTCTTCATTAATTTTCATCAGAGGAAGATGACATTACTCCACAGCTAAACAATAAGTGGCGCAAAGGCCATCTTTATGAATAGTGGTAAAGTTAATACTTTCTATACAAGTTTAATTTGACGCATACATCTTGGCCTATAGCATAGGTTAAATTTGACTCATAAATATTGGCCTATAGCATAGGTTAAATTTGACGTATAAATATTGACCTATAGCATAGGTTAAATTTGACGCATACATATTGGCCTATAGCACAGGTTAAGTTTGACGAGGAAATCTTTGCTTAAAACTATAATGATATCATAATATTATAATTCCAAAATGCAAAGAAAAAAAAATGTCGTCGATGAAACATGTACAACCATTCTTGTATCACCGAAAAATATCATCAATAAATAAAATTAACTTGGCCACTGAAAAAGAAATTGCACCGTATAAAACAAGGAGGTATGGGTTCCGGTATGATTGGCAATGAGACAGCTGTCCGTCAGAGACCAAAGTACTGGTATCCTCCAACGAGGATGTAAACAACTAGCGTACGTCACCGTACGTCCTTAAACAATGAACCGTATAGTAAGCTATAAGTGGCCCCTGTATGAAAAAAAATGTGAAAAATCCATCCGACTTAGAACATTAGGTTGTTTTGTAGGACGTTAAACATACCAACTAACAAAATGTGAAACTTTTCAAAAGTGAAAATCAACGGTCTGATTAATACTAAAACAAGAATAAACGAAGAATGAATATGGCAAACAAGATGTTGAAGTTGCTGCAACCAACAACAACTATTGAATACTAGGCTCCTGACTTGGGAAAGGCACATAAAAATGTGACGCGGATGACACGTTTGTGAGCGCTTAACCCCAACACTTCCAATGTTCAGCCTACCCCCCACCCCCCAAAACCTGAGCCTGGTGTATTACCAACTATAAAAATCAGTTGCAAAGGCTTCACTCGTCAGATCGGTACAAAGCACAAGTAACACAAACAAAAGCACAGAAACACAAAGTTCTGATTTAAATGAACTCGTAGTTAGTGAAAGATACTTCAAATATAATAATAAGAAGATGTGATATGCTTGCCAATGAGACAACTCTCCACAAGAGACCAAATCACACAGAAATTAACAACTATAGGTCACCGTACGGCCTTCAACAATGAGTAAAACCCGTACCGCATAGTCAGCTTTAAAAGGCCCCGGAATGACAAATGTAAAACAATTCAGACGAGAAAACTAACGGCCTGATTTATTTACAAAACAATGAACGAAAAACAAATATATATAGTAACACTCTTATTGAAAAAAATTGCTTTTCTAAGCACGTTCTCACAATGCTTCAATGCAGCTACGCTACTGTAAATAAATTTAATTTAATCTGACCGGCGAGAGCGGCTTCCTTATGTCTATATTTGCCGGCGATTGATTTCTTAGACAACTGGGCCAACGTCTTCTAATAAAACTGGCATGATGAGAAATGAATGTATTAATGGAATCTCATATTGCAGTTTTAAATATTTCATCAACCTGGGGTAAATCAAGTATTGAATCTCTTTTTTTACTATAAAATAAAACGTTTACCTGTTGTACCCGATGTAAATATCAAACAATTAGATTCATGTTGACACTTTACCTCTTGTTACGTGGATTTCTTTGATCATCTTGTTTTAAGACCATTTGATAAACTTTTAAACCTAGACGGTATTCTGCTGTTTTGAGCTTCTATAATGTGTATAATTTTATATCTTGTAAGTCATTAGCAATATCGTCTACAGCCTGATATAAATCCATGCCTAATCAATAATCGTTCCCATTCCCAGAAGGAAAGACTCCATCCATGCTTGTTCTTTCCGGAACTTTTACCTGAAATGTTCCGGCATTCAATATGGATTGATTGCTATAATTACTAGCGTCGTTGCAATTTCAAGATTATTATGTAAAGTTCAAGATCACATACCATGTGCTTTCATTAGTTTTACAACTATTTGACCAAAAGCACACGTCACGCTTCTAAACATCAGTTCAAAGTTGAAAGTTAACATTTTTCTTCAAAATAAGATTAGCAGTTAAGCGAATTCGTCGGAAAAAATATTAGTAAGGGACAAAGATTAATTGTCTCAGTTCCTCTCCAAACGTCAAAAAACTGCATCAGCGTTCATAGAAGACGATCTTGGTGTGCAAGACTCTATGGAATGTTTGCAACAACAAATCCAAGATACAGAAGCTACTTATAGCAACAACAGCACCGTCATCGATGCTGACGATGATACCACTGACAAAGCACCTGTTACTAGCCCTATATCAAATCAGATAATTTAGATCTTGCATTCCACAAGTCATTTGTTGACGACCAACAAAATTTGTTTTTGTGAAAAATAAATGGGATATTCCAACATCTTTTGTTTTTCCTCCTACAGAAATTCGTTGCGCAGTAATACCGAAGAAAAAAGTAATTGTATAGCTCTCATCAACTATAGAGTTGAAACTGATCAGATTTTAGCTGATCATTTACAAAACAGCCCCGAGACGCAAAATACCTATCGCCTACAATACAAAATGAATGAATTTATATTTGTGGCAAAATGTAACGACAACGTATCGTCATGGAGTGTAATTCTGCTGATTACTTAGTGTAATTGCAGGTGAAACTACTGATGTTTCTACTACAGATCAAATGTGTTTGTGTGTCCGTTATGTAGGTACTGATGGCAACGGGGATTTGTGTGTGAAAGAGTCGTTTCATGGATTTGCTGAGGCAAGTTCAACAACTGGGAAGGCTTTAGCCGCTACTATTATGGACAAACTGCATTAGTAGGGACCGTGAATCTACCGTTCAAAAAAGTATGACGCAAAGCGTATTGTAAAGTAAAATGTAATTCTGATCATCTACATTGATCACTAGCCTGTCAACACTGGAGTGTTAGTTCAAACCCCGCTCGTGGCTAGGTGCGCTGGACTCCGATAATTCTAAGGGTACTCCTGCTTCCTTTATCGATAAAAAAAACCTTGCCGATGTAATATAGCTAATAGTGCTCAAGGTGGTTTTAAACACAAACAATCGATTGATCGATCATAAACGTGTTCTCATGGTCCTTAGAGGTCGTTATATCTATTACTTTTTATTTCTTCGGAATCACATGACAAATATATTACATGTAAAGCAGGAAATCCTGTTTCTGAGCTTTACATTTTTATGATTTTAAAAATTCTAAATTCGATGTTCTAAATGTTCTTATTTATACAGTAAATTTGGGACAGTCAGTACATGATTCGAAAAATATTATCCGCTCCAGTATCACACAGTTGTGCATTATTTGGAAAGGTATGGTAAATTTTCTTAGAATTTATTTAATATTCAGGCCATTTTTAAAAAGTCCTTAAATCTTTAACTTTGCTTTAACTCATAGTATCACAGCTCCATGTGTGTAATTCGAGGTACTATCAACCCCAGGGTTATTTCTAAATCGATCACCAAATTATTAACATCCGTCTGTAAACTGCAGGTTTTGACAGATTTTGGCAAATTTTGATTACTTATCCCATATGAGATCGAAGAACATTCTTAACAAATTTCAAAATTATATTTGACTTTAAGCTTAACGATATCTTTCGAATACAAACTATTTCATTTTGGTTAGAAACGACATTCGAAACAATTGTTTCAAACGCATGTGAAATTTGCAATCGAATTGCCTATTTTGTATGTAAATTTGTTGAAAAATGATTCTGTGAGTGAAAAAAAAATCATGGAATATTTTTTCTAAGTTTTCCTCTTGTTTTTTGTTTTTTATTTGTTGATGTTTTTTATTTTTTCTTCCAAAGGCTTACCAAAATCAGCTATTATCACACATACAAAGTGTATGACTGGTTCGTTTTTATTCAATAATTGTCATGCGACACCGGATGATGTATTATACGAATATCTTCCCTTATATCATACAGCTGGATCTATATTAGGCATTTGGACATCACGAAAAAATGATATGGACACATTATTTATTCGTTTTCGTCTCATTTTGATCTTTGTGAGAGATAATGTCAGCACCAGGTAAATAGGATATAGGTAGATGCTCACAAATCAGCATCAACAGGAAAGATTGGAGACTATCTACGAAAATGTACTTCCTGCCTTTTGTTATTTTAGTTAAATGAACGTTTTAAAATTCATAACAATCTAATGTGTTCCGTTGAGAGAAATATAATCTATGCTTACCACACTGGTATTTAGATCTCTTTCTTAACCCTTTAAAAATTCATGACGTTGTGTATATACATAGACACAATGTATTCCAAAGTGTAGCCGCCGATATAAAGGCATTATTTTTTTATCTTTAGATCTCAATCCTCCTTTTTGATATTGGACAATATTCAATTCAACAGGAGAAATAATTTTTCTAAAATAGAATACATTAACGTTTTCGCGAGGGGAATGTACTTTTTCACAAGCAATACGCTGTTGTTATTCACTTATCTAATATATATTTTTTTCCTATTTGATAAAATATATTATTGAATAAGCGTTCTTGAGAAAAGAATAGCGAATGTCAATATGTCAAGATAAAAAAAAATCCCGTCTACTACAGTTGAATACTTAAACTACCGAAAGCTGCCTTAGCACAATTTTCCAAAATAAAAAAATAAACACATTACGGTATGAATAAAGAAAACTAGTTACAAGAGTAGGGGACTTGTTTTTGTCTTTTCGTTTGTTTTTTTTATTTTTTATTTATTTTTTATTATATTTTTATTTTTGCTTTTTATTTTATTTTTTTTTATTTTTTTTATTTTGCTTATTATATTGTTATTTTTGGGTGCGGGTTTCCACAATGATTTCTGCCGTTCTTCAACTTATGATTTGTATTGCCCATTGGTATCTTCATATAATTTGTTATTCAACTGTCAATGTTGTGTATATATGTTCACAGCGAGACTTAGCGACGTCTTCGTGTCTATTCTTACTTAATTTTCTACATTATACATTGAAGGGCGATTATGATACAAATCATAAGATAAGAGTTGCGCTTCGAAATGGACTAAGAAAAGACGTTTGGACACTGTTTCAAAAGAAGTTTAAGATAGAACAAATTCTGAAGTTCTATGGTGCAACTGAGATACCAGTAGGATTTATAAATATGGAAAACGCAATTGGTGCAGTTGGCAGAGCATCTCCACTGTTCGTAAGGTTTTAGTAAAATTTATCGTACAGAAGTTCAACTTAATAGGTATTCAATTGTTATTTCCTTATTGTTTGTCTTGAATTTCACATATTTGCAACTGGGCTTTCATAAAACACCAACCATTCATTAATTAACGTTACTAAAAGTCGTCAGTATTGCACAATGCTGTCTTAACCGGATTAGTGCTAACGCAATAATTTCAGTTGACAAATTATGTAAAAGTTATTTACTTTAACAAACAAGATAATTAATTGATAATATATACCTGTTCAAAGTCTGGAGAACATTTGTTTTAACAATAATTTTAAGCTTTCGATGGATTGATTGATTGGTGTTTAACGCCACTTTCAACACTATTGTGCTATTTCGTGGCGGTCAGTTTTTATTGGTGGAGGAAGCCGGAGAGAACCACCGACCTTAGTCAATTAAGATTGGAGTCGAGCGCACCTCAGTGTTGACTGGCTAGTGATACAGTAAGCTTTCGATGGACATTTGTAGCCACAAAAACATAATTGAAACAAATAAACTGACCGATTAGTGTAATTTAAATGGATTTTAATTCTTCCCCGCAAGGTTAACAAAATTAATGTAAAAATAGTTTTGTTCTACCAGAGACTGAATGAGCACAACAATTGCGTTACGAGATATATGATGATTTGGGAAACTCGTACGACTAAAAAAAACAACAACATTAGCTTGCACAAAAATATCTGACCAACAAAACAACAAACCCACTTTACAAGCTGTTCCGAATGAGTATGCTGCTCAATATTGAGGCATGATGCTCGATAAAATCATTTTATTTTTTATTTATAGAAACGGATGCTTCGGGTCCATTTTGTCAAGTATCGGACACAGGTATGGACCAGCCTGTACGAGATAAAAAAAAAGGGCAGTGTATTCCAGCAGCACCATGTATGTATATGGATAAAAGGATATGTGGAAAATACTTCAATGAGATAACATCCGAACTACACAAACATAAAGGATATCTTCAGGTCAACGTTAACAATTCATTCATGTTTACACAACGTTTTAAGCTGTAAATTATTCCAAGTCTAAAAAAGTTAAGGAAAAAGATTGAAGAGGAAATAGGGGCCCGATTTGTGCCCAATCAAATGAAGTTTTTGAGAATAGTAATCAATTATACCGGATCAATGAATGCTGACAGATACTATTTACTGTAGTTCTGTGGTTGTCATTGGTTCATGTCTGTCATATTGGTTTTTCGTAAATTGTTTTGTTATAAATTAGACCCTTAGTTTTCTCAATTGAATTGTTTTGTTTTTTTCATAGCGGGGCCTTTTAAAGCCGACTATACGGTATGGGTTTTTTTCATTGCTGAAGGCCGTACGGTTGCCTATAATTGCTTACATCCGCTTCATTTGGCCTCTGGTTGGTAGTTGTCTCATTGGCAATCATACCACATCTCCTTATTTTTATATTCATTGCTCGAAAAAAAAACAATCATTAATGGTCCAACTTCACCTCACTTTGTGACAAAAGAAAATGAAAATGTGAGCTGTTTTGACCATAGCACAATATACAAATGTCCATTTCAAGCCGAACTTGATGAATATTAAACAGAATAAAGTGTTTTGAACAAGAAAAATGTTCATCAAAGTAATTAAACCTGCTATTATTCTTACATGTATAATTGTACAAAAAAATATGGTTAACATTTTAAGTAATGTTTTGATTGTAGATGAACTTGGACTACTTATTTGTACAATAAGTGGAAAACTCCTTTTGAAGGATATAAAAACCGGGATGAAGCCACCAAACGAAAACTTATCCATGATGTTTTTCGATTCTGGAAACCTGTTTAATCATGACGAAAATTATTATTACTTAGTCTACTTCTATTATCGGCTTGGAGATACATACAGGTAAAACTGTACCACGTTTAATGATTATTTTCGAATTATAATATTACATATTTCATTTGTTTTATAAGTAAGAGGGTCACGATTGTCATATATTTCTTAATAATTGCAACGTGTGTACAGTACGTCTTCCATTACATTATCAGTAATATTTACTTCAATCTTATTATTGTTTACTTTTTATGCCCCCGCCGTAGCGGAGGGGGGTTTCAGTTTTACCCTTGTCCGTCTGTATGTACGTACGTACGTACGTACGTCCCAAAAATGGTTTCCGTTCTCTAACTTTAGTTTACCTCAACCAAATGTTTTGACACTTATACACAATGCTTATTATCACAAAACACCGATCAAATTTGAATTTTGGTGGCGTCACTTTTACTGTTCTAGAGTTATGCTCCTTTACAAATGGAAAAATTGCTGAATTTTTCGTTTCCGTTCTCTAACTTTAGTTTGCCTCAACCAAATGTTATGAAACTTATACACAATACTTATTTACACAAAACACAGATCAAGTTAGAATTTTGGTGGCGTCACTTTTACCGTTCTAGAGTTATATGCCCCTTTACAAATGGAAAAATTGCTGAATTTTTCATTTCAGTACTCTAACTTATGTTTGCCTCAACTTAATGTTATGAAACTTTTAAACAATGCTTATTACCACAAAACTCAGATCAAGTACAAATTTTGGTAGCGTCACTTTTACAGTTCTTGAGTTATGTCCCTTTGTAACGTTATATGCAAGCGGGGGCATCATCTGTGTTCCATGGACACATTCCCCATTTATTTCATACATATTTCTTTATTTTATGATTGCTTGTAGAAAGGAGGATGTTTGATAAAAACTATTATTTGGTCTTTTATTTTTCATAAACAGGTTTATATTAAACAGTAAATGTACAAACCTTTTATCATTGTGTATTTATAGAATCATTGATATTAAGCAGATACAATCTTGTCATCTTATTTCAGAAAATGTCACAGATGACAAAAAAGGGCATTTTACATAAATATATTATAATTAGTACAAATTAAAGATGAGCAGCGGCATACTTCTGTTGCCTTTATCTATCCTTTCCAAAAAAAATAGGGTGTTAGACATTTTGTGGCAAAATATATGTTTGTGTAAGACAGCTGCTTATCTAAAAAGTAATTGAGAGATCTCAATGTTTGTGTGTGTTTTTTTTTTAGTTTTTCCTTTATTGAATGTAGATGAAGTCTGGGGGAGGGGTACACGAATAATCGAAATATATAATACTGATGTATCACAAGACAGACAACTGTCTTGTTAATATTGGCAATACATTATTTTGCTATGTTAGATTTTTGAAATTATGTAATTTTTTTGAAATTGCCAAAAGCAGTTGTTGTATCGTACTTTCCATTTTGAATTGCAAACGCTTAGAAAATAGCATTATTTTAATGCACACCATACGTCTAGTTTTTTCGTTTACATTTTTTAGATGGAAAGGTGAAAATGTATCAACAACACAAGTAGCTAACATTATAACAGAGTTACCATTTATAGTAGATACATGTGTCTAAGGAGTTCTCGTTCCAGGTATAGTGTTCTTATATAGATATAAGAAGATGTTGTATGGGTGCCAATGAGACAACTCTCCATCCAAGTCAAAATTTATAAAAATAAACCATTATAGGTCAAAGTACGGTCTTCAACACGGAGCCTTGGAACACACCGAACAGCAATAATATTATATGTATTGAAAACTCAAATTAAAGATATTTCTGTGGTTAAAAAATAAATGATACTAACAATTGTAAATTTGTTTTACCAAAGAACGCCTTTGCATTTTCCAAAATAGAATTTCACTTTTAACTGCTTATCCAAGAAGCATTAGGCTTTAAGTATAGTAATGTGCTATATTAAGATGAACACAAATATAATGTATCGACATTTACATTATACGCATTGACTGAGATTGATATATTAACTTACGTATACACTGAAGTTGATATTATACGCATTAACTGAGGTTGGTATATTAACTTATGAATTCACTGAGGTTGACATATTAAACTATGCATTCACTGAGGTTGATATATTAACTTACGAATTCACTGAGGTTGATTTATTTAACTACGCATTCACTGGATTGATATATAACTTACGCATACACTGAGGTTGATATTATCCGCATTCACTTAGGTTGATATATTAACTTATGAATTCACTGAGGTTGATTTATTAACTTACGAATTCACTTAGGTTGATATATTAGCTTATGCGTTCACTGAGGTTGATTTATTAACTTACGCGTTCACTGAGGTTGATATTTATAGAATAACTAATCGAAGAATTCAAATAGAGAAAAATATTCAACGAGTGACCGACCAACACATTAATTCACGAATGCGCGTAGCGCATGAGTTAATTATCAGTATTGTTCGGTCACGAGTTGAATATTTTTCGATATTTGAATTCTTTGATTAGTTATTCTTTTTATTACATTGGCAAATGGCTTTTTTTAATGAAATTAATGTAGAAAATATAAGGAACTATATCTTTTTTCTACGCATTCACAATTTGTTTTGATCCGACGTTATCGACGTCTTGACAACGCGTATTGTTGTATGACGTCAGAGAGTGAAATAACCACGTTTATTTCACATGTGAAATTATCGGTTTTTATTTGACTGGGAAATCAATGTAATTCATTGCTACCAATGTAATAAATTAGCTTACGCATTCACTGAGGTTGATATCATAACGTACGCATTCACTGAGGTTGAAACGGAATGGATTTATGGGACCACACTTACCTCTCACCAGACACTTCATTGCATGCAGCACTGGATTTGTGTAAATATAATATATTAGAATATACTAATTTCATAAGTTTTAATCTCAACAATATTTAGCTCTAAGTTTGCTACTGAAATAAATAGAGTAAAATGAAAATTAAATTTACATAACCATTACAAGTAACAAAATATGATTCACTCTGATTTTCAACTCAACGTTTTTATTTGCACACATACGCGACTGTTCTTATTCGGGCATTATATATATATATATATATATATAAATATTTCAAATGATAATCATGGGGAGATTTGTTCCAAGAGATTGCCGTTATATTACTTTATTTTTTTATATACTACATGCACTGTAAAGTTTAGTACACATTTGAATCTCTTTTCTGACATTTTGAATATAACCCTTTTCAAATGTATTTGTAAATAAGTACAGTTTATTGAATCAACATAATTTATAGCATTATAATTTAAACTGTTTATCTATATGCGTGCCGTATATGTCCATTTAAGGTTCTGAAGGAAGAGCAGGAATGGCTACAATCAACTTACTTGATTCCGAGAAGAAACCACCTACTGAAGACATGATTTCCCAAATAGGACAACAATGCACCACCGAACTAGAATTATATGCTATACATAGATTCCTACGATTTACACATGTACACATGTTAGACATCACATCGACATTAAAACATATTAAGGCAACCCTGAAAAAAGAAGGATTCGTTAAAGAACCACTTTATTACTTTGATACTAAAAAACAGAAATACTGTACGTTGGACAAGGAAATAGCCTTGGCAATTGAAGAGCAGAAAATCAAATTATAATATGAACATGATGTTACATGTTTATTGGAAGAGAGATTGCTGACAATTGTATGATTAAACCGATATTACCTCTGAAAAGGAACAATAAAGAGCAATCATGCATGTTGTTTAGAAAGAACAAAATTTGAATGCCAAATTGAATGTTTACTTTTATTCGTTCAATTTTTAAACATTAAGCAAAATGTTATTATTTTACTTCGAAATTAAACTAGTATATGTATTGTGGCATTATTTACTAATCAAGTTAGTAAGTAATCAATATAAACGCGTTGTATACTATGGTTAAAAAATTCATATTATTTAATAGGAGTATAATTTTTTATAACTATATATTGTATATTTTTATAGTTTGATTTGTGAAACAGTTTACACATGCTGCATAATAAATCGATATTATTTAGTTTGGTTTTCCTGGTACAAATGTAGCTGTGTTTTTGTTATCTGTAATATTTGTATTATTTGTGGAAAACCTTTAACTGAACTTTTTTACTTGAAAAGGGGGGACGTTATTCCTTAAAACTGAAAATTTTTGTGCGATTTTATGAGAAAAAATCATATAGATCGTGAAAAACATGATATAGTAAAAAAAAATGGCGATCAAAAGCGGGGACTCTGGATCCGTTACTGGTATTGATTTAAGCTCACCTATCCTTAGTAGTCGGCGTGATGTATTTACTTAGCCGATCGTATATATTCGTCACGTGTAAAAAAATCGTCTCCTATAAAACCATTTGGTCAATTTGGTGCAAAGCTGACTTAAATTATTCTATGGATGCATATTTACTATAGTTTAAGCTGCAGCATTCCTGATTGAAAGTAAAGAGGCGAAGCGTTTCAAAAGATATTGTAGCAATTAAGAAAAACCTGCAGTCGAAAATCAACAGAACAATAGCCATAAAGAGATAGAAACAACCCATTTACAATTAATTTGAATCAATGGAAGTCGTGTGGCAAAACAAACAATACACAAAATAAAACAAACGAAAATAGTCAAAAAGTCCTCATTCGGTCGTAAACATTAGGATGGTTTATGAGTCATATGCCAATCTCTTAATAAATACGAAATTCGTACAAGTTCAAAAACATAGCACTCTGATATAAACAAGACAACACTGATTAATGTTCTTAATCGGACGAGTCAAATACACATGGTCTGGAGTTGAACAATTCACCCCCTTTCAATCATTTTTATAATCTCGACCAATGAAACAACATAAGGGACAGAAAGAGGACGAATTATAAATACCTAATCCTGTAGTTATGTTTAAAATTAAAAAGTACAAATTCTTCTTCTTCTTCCATATACTGCCCACATTCAACTTTCTGAATATACTGGCAAATTGGTTCTGCATGGTTAAAAACAGGATAAAAACAAATGTTCATCTTATTTTGTAAGGTTGGTCATTTGAGATTTGAATGTCTCAAATGACTGTGCTGTGGCGATCTCCGGGGGAAGCTTGTTCCAGTCTTTGGTGGTGTTCACAAAGAAGGACCATTTCCTGCAGTCTTTGGTTGCTGTTTGTACCATGTATCCATGCTGTTGTGTATGTCTGGATACTCTGGTTGGTCTCTGGAGGTACATGTCTTTGCTGATGGCTACTTTGTCGTTGACGATCTTGTACATCATTGCGAGCCTGGCCTCTCTGCGTCGTTCTTGGAGACTTTTCCAACCCAATTCATTAATCATGTCCGTGACACTTGATCTGTTTCTGTGGCGCTTGGTGACGTATCGCGCAGCCCTCCTTTGAACTTTTTCAATTTGGTCAATATGTTTCTGATGATATGGGTCCCATACTGTTGTGGCATATTCTAGTTGGGGCCTTACTAGGGTTTTGTAAGCTTGCTCTTTTAGATGCTTATTAAAACCGTTTCAAAGAATGCGCGCAATTGCTGAAAGCCAGTATAAAATGTTATTGTATGAATTAATTGTCAAGTGGCATCTATATATAACATGGCATTGAATATTCAATACGAAAGAATGTTAATTTGATATGAATATATATACCTTGTTTTGTAATATATCGACACGCTGTGTCATATTTTGTAAGGTGCTAGATCAATCATTATGGTTGTTGTTTCATGTCTGTTAAGGATGTACTTAGGTGAGGTTTAGGAATTTGTGTCAGATGTTCGGACTCCTTGGTTTTTTCCTACGATACAGGGTAAAATATTTTGCCCCATAACACCCATTTTTCTTTTCATATAAGCCTTCAATAGCTCATAAAAGGTCATTTACCAAAATTTAAGCAGATTCTAGATTTCTTTTCTTTCAATTTGAGATCCAAATAATACCAATGCAAATACAAGGTAAAAGTCCGAGTCAGACTTTCCCGCCATTTTTTAAAACACAAATATCTCGAAAAGGAGCTCCATAGCCTTTCAATATGTTTAGCTTATTTTGTTCCTTAACTAATGCTCATCCGACTTATAGTATCAATTTTAACTTCTAGATTTTTTTAATTTCACCTAAGTACATCCTGAAATAAGTTTTTCGTAAATTGTTTTTGCTTGACATTAGGCCGTCAGTTTTCTCGTTTGGATTATTTCATATTTTTTATGCCGGGGCCTTTTATAGCCGACTATACGGTGTGGATTTTTTTTTCATTGTTGAAGGCCGTACGGTTGCCTATAGTTGCTAACATCCACTTCATTTGGCCTCTGATTGGTTGTTGCCTCACTGGCAATCATACCACATCTACTTATTATTGATATGTCATCCTACCTAGACATATTAATCTAACTCCGAATCGAACAGTTTTGACTCCTATCTCATAGATGCCGCGAAGCAAAAACGCTACCACAAAACCACCGTGACGGTGTATACGTAGTATATAGTAAATAAAAAATGATGACTGGCACTTAATTAATCACAAAGCCTAACATATATTTTAATAAATTTGTTGAAAAAGCCTAACCCCCATTAGCGTTTACATTATCTTCACACTTTACTAAACTTGAAAAAATAAGAATATTCTGAAGGTTCAATCAATACAGAGCCCTACGAAATTTAGATATTATATAATCATCATTCAGAATGACGATCATAAAAAACCTTAAAGCACAAATATAAAAAAGAAGATGTGGTATGATTGCCAATGAGACAACTCTCCACAAGAGACCAAATGACACAGAAATTAACAACTATAGGTCACCGTACGGCCTTCAACAATGAGCAAAGCCCATACCACACAGTCAGCTATAAAAGCCCCCGAAATGACAATGTAAAACAATTCAAACGAGAAAATTAACGGCCTAATTTATGTACAAAAAATGAACGAAAAACAAATATGTAACACATAAACAAACGACAACCACTGAATTACAGGCTCCTGACTTGGGACAGGTACATAAATAAAGAATGTGGCGGGGTTAAACATGTTAGCGGGATCCCAACCATCCCCCTAACCTAGGACAGTGGCGTAACAGTACAACATAAGAATGAACTATACAAATCAGTTGAAAGAGGCTTTAGTTAACTCATCAGATGGATAAAAATACAAATACTACAAATACAAGTGGACGTGGCCGGGGACTTGTATATCCAAACAACAAAAAGACACTAAGTACAGACAAGTTGATTTTAGTGATTAGTCGCTTTTCGGCATTTGATGATAATAGCTTTCACAGAAATCACTAGGCCTACATGCATCACTTTTACTAAAAACAAAATCTTAACGGAAAAAAAAGAGTGAGAATTTAGTAACCTTACTCCTTCGTTTTCATTGATTGTTTATTACTAAAGGTATTTTCCTGCCAGAAATTTTTATAAGCTTTTGATTTCTGTGTCCTTCGTTGGTCCGCTGTTAACGTTTGCAAAAATATTCTCCTCTGAAATAAAACTTCCACAGAGATATTCTTGGGATTTCTATTTTTGATTTATTAATTCTAGTATGGTCCATCAGCCGCCATGGCTAAAACATAACGATAAAATGCAAGTAATTACCATATATATATCTTGAAATCCTTACAGAAAATCTGACGAGTCAAGCATGTTTAGAAACTATCGCCCTCTCATGACGCGATTACTGCACAATTTAAAACGTCTTCCTTTTAATTTGAAAATTATAGATTCAGATTCAGATTCAATATTTTATTATAGTCTTACCACATACAATTACATATATTTACACAATAAAATATTCATACAGGTACATAAAACAGGTAACAAGAAACATTACATTAACATTGTATTTGCCAATCTTAAAAGATTTACTAGTATGAGAGACTGTACATACAATATTATACAGTTTGATAATGTAAATATTATATATAACATATATTTGTTTAAGAATATTATTATATTAATTAGGTAGACATATTCTGTACTCAGGGTTGAACATCAATATTGATCAGCAATACACGGTCTACATTATATTTTATGAAAATACGAAATTATGACAGGACCTATCAATTGCAATGCTTACATATTTTTTTACCTCTTATTAACGATTTTACTTTACAATTTTAAGCATGTCTGCCGATAAGCTTGAAAAGTCAAGATAAATTATATGAAGATGGTCAGAAACTGAAAACAGCAAACTAACTTGCTTCAGATATCAAAAGCGAAGCTGATGTCCCAATATAAATTTTATAGAATTGCAATGTATTATAACGGAAATCTTCTTAGCAATAAAATGTAGTTTTTAGACAATTGTTTTAGACATTTCTTCGATCAACCGTTATTTTACAAAAATGAATACGTGTATATATTAAGGTGGATAAGGGGTCTTCATTATAATTAATATCCATAGAATTTTTTAATAATTTATCAAAAATATAATAAAAAGTATAGGTCACCGGGCTTTTTTTCACGCTACAGGT